AGCAATTTATTATAAAGACCCCGAAACCGGGAAGGAAATAGTTAATATGAATTGCTGGAAGTTAATTCCGCCAGGGGAAAAATATTGTAAAGGCGATGCTTGTGTTTACTTTACCGATGTTTATCACAATATCCATTCAGAGGAAAGAAAACGAATAAGACAAAAATGAGACCAACGCGACCAAGAAAAATATCGAAAGGCTAATGATTGATGAAACTCATTAAATTTAGCCGAAAAGCAGACTGAATTGAAAAAGGAAGAGGAACATTTAAAAGGCTTAGGATTACAGCGGCAGAGATGCTGAATTGAAAGATTGGATAAAAATAGTATTCTGTTTGAAAATGGTAAGTTATACTATGACAATCTGGATAAAATTCCTCCCTCATTTTTGGATAGATTTGGCTATCCTGGTTTCCAATGAGAAAGTGTTTGAAAAAATGATAGTAATCATTCTAACTCTCTTCAAGCACAGTCCGAAATAAAAAAAGAAATAAGTAATAAAGAAATTTCCTTACAACAAGCCAAAGAAAATGGTGATAATGAAATGGTCGCCAAATTAGAGCAACAAATTCAAGAATTAAAAAACCAGCAAAGAAATAGTTCTACTATTGAAAGTCCAAACAAAAATAATATAATTGCCTACTCAATTATCGGATTTTTGCTGGTTTCCTTAATCGGAATTGTCATTTTGTTAGCAAAGCCAAAACGGAAAAGTCCTAAAATTAAATAATAATGGCACAGAAAGCAAGTCCTTATGCAATTCGTTTGGGTTATAATCAGGTGTGGAATACTTATTTTTTTGCCGAAAATAAGCAAGAGCAAATTAATTGACTACAAAAAGATAAATTAATTCGTGATTATCTTCACTCCCTCTTCCCCGATACTGACCGGTTAAAAATTGAATACACTAAAAACAATATTTTCATTTATCTTTACATACCAGAAATCAGTTTGGTGCTAGGGGAGGATAATTCTAAAATAGAAGCGGTAATGAAAGATATTTATAAAATAATTAATGATGATAAGGTGGCGGTTAAAATAAATCTAGTTGAGGTAAAAAAAATTTACACCCACGCCCAATCAATTGCTAACTTAATTGCTGGACAGTTGAAAAAGCGGACTCGCTCACGTCAAGTTATTAAAGATTTGCTGACAAGATTAGTGGCGGAAAGAGAAGCAGTAAAAGGAGCCAAAATTGAAGTCAGTGGTCGCTTGGATGAGTCTGACATCGCCCAGACTAAAAAAATCGTGCAGGGAAAAATGCCACTCAGCACGATTGATAGTAATGTTGAGGTTGGACAAAAAGTAGTAATCACCTCTTACGGTGCAATTGGAGTTAAAGTGCTAATTTACAAAGGAAAAATCTGACAAAAAAGAAATAAAAATTATGCTAATACCAAAAAAAACTAAATATCGTTATTCTCATATTGTAAAGTATGAGGGTCATGCCAAAGGAAACCAAGAAGTTAATTTTGGCGATTACGGCTTACAAGCCCAAGAAGGAGCCTACATCAGCAATCGGGTAATCGAAGCCGGACGAAAAGTAATTAGTCCTTTTGTCAAAAAAAATGGCAAAATGTGAATTAGGATTTTCCCCCACTTAGGGAAAACCAAAAAGCCTCTGGAAGTCAGAATGGGGTCGGGAAAAGGTTCCGTCGAAAGTTGGGTAGCTGTAGTGAAAAAAGGAACCATCATTTTTGAAATCCAAGGATTACCCAAAACTGCTTCCTATAAAGTGTTAAAACAGGCTAGTTATAAACTACCTATTCACTGTAAAATTGTCGAAAAAAATGGATAAGCAAGTAAAAAACGAAAAAGAAAAAGTAAAAAAAAAGTTAACCAAGGAGGAATTATTGGCTCAGTGTCGTTCGGCATTAATCGTTCTAAAAATGAAAAGTAAAACGGGGCAATTAGTGCAAACTCACCAAATTAAGCAACTAAAAAAACAAATCGCTCGGCTACTCACTGCTGATAAGGTAATAAAAAATAAATAATATATGAGTCAAATATTTACGGGAACAGTAATCGGTCTAAAAAATCTAAAGACAGCGACCGTGGAATTAGTTTTCAATAAATTACATCCCAAATATCATAAACCAATTAAAAGAAAAACAAAAATCCAGGCTCATAATGAGGAGTATGATTTACAATTAGGTGATAAAGTAGTAATTAAAAGTAGTCGTCCGTATTCCAAAACTAAAAGGTTTTTGGTAGTCAAGAAAGAAAAATTATAATAATATAAAAACATTATGGCAGAAAATCAAATTAAAGTAAACAATTTAGAGGAATTACTAGCCAAGGTCAGAGAATATGTGGCCTCTCAGGGCGGGGCAGATAAAGTTAGAATAGGAAATATCTCTGCTAATTCAGCAACTTATACTTTCCGAAAAGGTTTCCCAATTCAAACTGAAAAGGAATACATGTTAATAGAGTTGAGAGGGGAAAATGGTTCATCCGTAGAGTTTAAAATGGAAGCCGAAGGCGACAAAGAAATTGGCGGGCTTGGTAAACTTCCAACCAGAACCCTTCATAAAGTTTTAGCCGAAGTAGGAAAGATTATTCCGGAAGTCCGAACTAAGCCTCCGCAAAATGGGACTCCTGAAAAAGATAATTTTCAGCCCCATAGTTTAGCGATCCGTGGTGTTCCTTGTTCGAGTTTGGAAGAAGTAAAAAAGCAACTAAAAGAATATTATCAAAAAAATCAGGAGGAAATTAACAAAAATCCTGATTTTAACCAATGGGTAAAAACAATTTATAGTCATTTTGGCGACGAAGTTAATTATTCAAAAGAAGGAAAAGAAATTTCAAAAGGTCATGTTTACGAATGAACTATTTCTCTAAAAGAGTATGTAGAAAATGGAACAAATACAAAAATAAATCTTTGCCTAAAAGTAGAAGGAGATAAAAATGACCTAAACTTTTCCCTTTCTGATGACGAAAAAGAGTTAGAAAATTACTGAAATAATTTAACCGGAAATCAGGAAACAAAAGATAATCCAACCAAAAACCCGGTTAAGACTTCTCCTGAACCCAAAAACCAGAGCGAAAAAATAAAAAAAATTCGCCAGGAAATAAAAGACTTAGAAAACCGTTCTGATCTTAATAATTCAGAAAAACAAAGAGAATTGGCGAAAAAAAGAAAAGAGTTAAGTAAATTAGAAAAAAGCCTAAACGATACTTCTAATCAGCCCAACCATAATTTAGCACTTTATTTAAGTTTAGGAGGAATTGTAATTCTTGTGGTGGGGGGAATTATGGTGTGACGGCTCCGCCTAAGGAAAAAAAATATAAAATAAGATATATGACGAAAATTGTCAACAAAAAAGTCCGTCGGGAAATCAGAAAAAAAAGAAGTAGTCTAATTAAAGGTTCACTAGAAAAGCCACGAGTAGTCTTGTGTGAGTCTAATCGTTATTTGCGGGTGCAGGCCATCGATGATGTGGCAGGCAATACCATTGCCTCTGCTTCTACCGAAGATTTTAAGGAGGAAAATAATAATTACTCTCGTAAGAATAAAAATTATGCTAAGCAACTGGGGGAAGTTTTTGTAGATAAATTGAAGCAAGGAGGGGTGAAAAAAATTATTTTTGACCGCAACGCTCGTCTTTATCATGGCAAGGTTGAAGTATTTTGCAATGTGCTGCGGGAACGAGAAATTAACTTCTAATGGAGCAAGAAAAGATTAATATTTTAGAGGAAAGTAATCAAGTCAAAAAGGATGAAAAGGAGAAAGTCAATGACGAGCAGGCCGACGGTAAAAGAAATAAGTTAGTTTCGAATAAGCCTGGAGAAGGGGGGTATGAAAAAAAGCGTTATACCCATGCCTATTTGCGTGAGGTTTTAGAAACTACACGGCCAGTGAAAGTAACCAAAGGTGGCCGAAGATTTAGTTTTACTAGTTTAGTTTTAATAAAAGATAAAGAAAAAAAAGCGGTTGCTTATGCTCGTGGAAAAGGTAAAGAGACAATGGTTGCTCTACAAAAGGCTTGCCGAAAAGCACAAAAAAAATTAATTAGTTACTTTCCTAATCCACCTCGAACTATTCCCTATCAGATATTAGCGAAGGATGGAGCAACTAAGATTTTTTTAAAACCAGCTCCTCCGGGTAGTGGAATTAAAGCCGGCGGAGTGCTTAGCAAGTTATTTAAGTACTTAGAAATTAAAGATGTCAGTGCTAAAATAATTGGTTCACGCAATAAAATGAATGTTATTCGAGTTGCCTTTTTGGCTTTGGATAAATTAACTGGAAAGAAATATGAATACTAAAAATTATTTAACTACTATTGTCAAGAAAAAAAAAATAGTTGGTCGCGGAATTGGTTCAGGTCGGGGAAAAACGGCTGGACGAGGACAAAAAGGACAAGGGGCTCGCAAGAGTGGTCATGTTCGTCCTGGATTCGAAGGGGGGCAAACCCCTATTTATCGCCGCGTTCCCAAGCGAGGCGGGGGATCTAGACCCCCCAAAACTTCTTATCGGATAGTCAATTTATCTAAATTAGAAAAAGACGAAAAGGTAGTAAACAGGCAAGTAATTGATTTTACTCAGGAAAACCGTCCAGTAAAAATATTAGGCGAAGGAAATCTTACTAAAAATTTGACCATCAAAGCCGCTACCTTTTCCCAATCGGCTCAGCAAAAAATCACCCAAGCGGGTGGTAATTTTCAAATAGCCGAGCAAAAAAAGTAATATGGCAAGTAATATCAAAAAAAAAAGAGTTAGTCGCCAATATCAGATTTTTTTTTTCGCCTGCTTGGCTAGTTTACTTGGCCTACTGGTTTATATTTTAGGGGCTAAAAGAATTTCCTTTCCTGATCAATGAATGCCTTTGACGAAGGGAGCAGAAAAACCTGCTAAGGGAAATCTATTTTTCGCTGGCGTTACTGTCCATTTGCAAGTCAACTTTTTTTTGCAATTCTTTTTCATTTTGCTTAACCCAGAAAAAATGGACCAAGTCAAGATGAAAAGGTGAAGATTTTGAATTAGTCGGACTCTAATTTTTCTCGGTTCACTAATAATGGGTTTCTTAAGGTATGGGAAAAATGTCAAGGAGGGTGGTTGAGGCAGTATTCTAATGTTATGTTTAATTGTTACCGTAATTAATTGTTGCTTGTTGGAATTGCTTATTCAGTTAATGAATCAGTATGGGGTATGTAATGCTTTTAACCTAATTCTGCTTACTGAATTTCTCCCTTATAATTGAATTGCCGGAAATTGAAAAAAACCGGAACCAATGCTCTACTTAGTATTAATTACTGTTTTCTTTATTTGAATAACTAACTTAAGGTGGGAAGCGTCGGTGGAGACTAATACCCTTTATAATCAAAACAGCAAAATATTAAAAAAAAGGAAGTCAAAATTAGGATTTCGCTTGAGTTTTGGTTTCATGCCTTTGATTACTTTATCCCAATTCGTGGGTTGGATATATAATTTTGTCCTAATGCGTAGGGCTGGAGTGAGTTGAAATAGTATTGACAGTATATCAGAAGGTTGAGAGAATGCGAATAAAGTAAGGGGGAGGAGCATGGACGATTTGGGAGCCAGTCTAGACAACAAAGACAAGGTTGGCGGCAATTTTTGAGGCCCCTTTCTTTTACTTAATGACGCCAGATATATTTTTGATTTAAAAAATTTAAAAGATTGGTTTTGGAATAAAAAATGGTGAATAGTTGGTGCCCTCTTTTTCCTTCTTCTCTTACGCTGATTGGTGATTTGAATGCAAATGCGTAAGGTTCATCCCTGAAAGACTGGCGAAATGAGTAAGGATTTGCGAAGCAGAGGAATCTACATAAATTATTTGGCTCCGGGTCATTCAACCCGTAATCTATTGCGAAAAGTAATCAATAAGATAATATTTTTTTGGTATTTTATTATTCTAGTTTTCAATATCATTTTTGATAATTTATTCAAGGGATTTACTCCTTATTTATCCTTTTTTAGTTGATTTGGTAGTGTTAATATCGGAGTTGACTTAGTCCGCCAAATCAGAACGAAGTATAAATACATAAAAACTAATAAATAAAGGCAAATTTTATATGGAAGTAAAAAACAATTCAAAAAAAATCATTTTATTGCTGTTCCCACTCATTATTAATAAATTTGATTTCCCAGCAGAGGAAAAAGGAATATTTTTTGATTTAGGAAAGATAAAAAAGCAAACATTAAAAAAAAAAAACTTTCCTCCATTAGCGGGAGAAGAAATACTTAAACTAGTCGAAATTAATTATAATCAGGAGGTTAAGGAATTTATTCATCATAATTCTCATTCTAAGTTGATACTAGTTAATTATCCAGGCAACGAACCACAATTTACTTCCTTAAACACTGAATTAGCCCAGGCAGGAAAAAAAATCAGTAACATTATCCTTTTAAATATTTCTAACTACGAATTAATATTGAGTATAAAGAATGATTATCTAATTTGTCCTCTTTGTGAAAAGATATACAAAAAAGAAGAGGTGGTGAAAGACATTGAAAAGTTTATTTGTCCGCGAGATAATGAATACCAGTTTTCCTTTGCCGATGTAAAAAGGTTTAGCGAATATGTCATTGAGTATCAATTAAAAAATACCGAACAAATAATTAAAAAATTTCTCTCTGAGAATAAACTTTCTACCTCCTCTATCATTCAATTATCCGTCCAAAAAAAGGAGGAAATTTTTAATGGTGAAGCCCAAAAAAACTTATTAAAAGTAATCGAAAGTTTATAAAAATCCCAGTCAGAAGTATTTTTTGTTATATAAAATTATATTAAGATGATAAAGATTAACCAAAAGATAAAAATTAAATAAAAAACTAAAATAATAATTGCCTATGGAGAAAACGATAGAGAGATATCTAATTAGAATAACCAATTAATATCACTACCTAATTAGATATAATTTAGCAAATTGCCCTAGTAGTGGTGAAACAATAAATTACAAAACAAAAAATATAAGAAAATTAATAAAATATGACAAATTGAAAAACATTTAAAATTATAAGTAAGGAAAAGCCGGCTCGTCTTAATAATATCGTCTTTCATTTAGATGACTATGTTTCCTACAAACTTACTGGCTTAAATGCTGATGAGAGGTTTATTATTTGTACTAATACGCCTCCTTTTAATACTTACCGAATAGGTGAATATTTGCAGATTGATTTGGATGAAACATGTAATGAGTTGCCTATAACAGTCTTTTATAATACGGAGGTAGTAAGGAAAGCACCTTCCTCTGTAGTTAACATACCTTCTATAACTCAAAATCAAGTGTCAACGATAGTACGACAAATTAACTCGGCAATAGACAGTGATGAACGAAACAGATATACTGCTTCTATAGAAGTAAATCCTGAAACTGGCAATATTATTTATCGGCTTTCAGGCGAAAGAAAATAATTATTAAAGATATGAATTACCAAAAAAATATTGAAATCCTAGACGGATTAGAAAAAGCAATAAAAGCAATTGGGGGCGAATACCCGGTCAATTTTGAAATTAAGGGTAGAGATGGAAAATTAACCAAAGTAACCAAAGAAGCGTTTGCAAAGTGAATGGTGAATGAAAAAAACAATGATAGGTGAGTAGGGGGCGTTTTCGGTCAGGAACCCAAAAATTCTGAAATAGAAGGACAGAAAAATGAATTAGAAAAGAATATAAAAGATGACCAAAAACAGATTGAAAAACCAAAAGAAATTTTAGTTTATGGTGCTACATGGGACATTGATGGCACTGAATATTTCATGGAAAGAAAAAGAAAAGATAAAGCTGTCAAACAGAGTTATTATGAACCTCGTAGTGAGGAGGAGAAAAAACAGATTATCGAAAGAAATCAAAAAAGACGAGAACAAGAGGCAGAAAAAAATAAAAGGAATTTAGAGCAGCAAGTTCAAAGCCAAGAAAATTCTCAAACAGAAACTTCTTCCACTTCTGGTAAAAAAAACCAACCATCTAAAAAAGAAACTAACCAACCAGATTCTTCTCAAAATGTAAATCAAGAAGCATCAGCAGAAAAAATTTCATTACAAAATAGGGATGACAAGAATATTTATTATGGAGTAGGCGCGATTTTTCTTGTTCTTTTGGCGGCAAGTATGATAACAGTTTGGGTAAAGAAAAAGAGAAAGTTGAAATAAAAAAAATTAAGGAGGAGTTAAAATGCTCCCCTTAATATCTATTCTGAAAATATTTAGTTATTTGGATTAGGTATTAGAAAGTGAATAAACTAGAATGTATCAAAAAGGCTGGGCAAGCCGTAAATAATATTTTGAAAAGACTAAAAAAGGAAATAAAGCCGGGTGTTTCAGGGGAGGACTTGGATAACTTGGCTCGTCAGTTAATGGAAGAACAAAAAGTCCAATCATCCAGTTTGGATTATAAAGGTTTTTCAGCACACATTTGCGTGGCTCTTAATGAAGAATTAACTCACGGCGTACCTGATGGACGAGTTTTTAAGGAGGGCGATTTAGTTTCCATTGATGTCGCCTGCCATTATCAAGGTTATCATGCGGATGCGGCTCTAACCACCATCGTGGGAGAGGGAAATGAAGTGAAAAGAAATTTATTGAAAGTAACTAAAAATAGTTTATATTATGCAATTCAAAATATTCGACCCGGCATTACTACAACTCAGGACATTGGTGCTATGTTAGAAAAATACATTCGGAATCGTGGTTATTACCCCATTAAAGAATATGGAGGGCATGGAATTGGGGGAAAACTTCATATGGAACCTTTTATTCCTAATTATAAAATTCCTAATAGAGGGGAAATTATTAAAGAAGGGATGTTTATTTGTATTGAACCATTAGTTCAGATGGGCGATGACGAAGTGGATATTTCTACTAATAAGTGAACCGTATTTTCCAAAAATGGCTTTTTGAATGCTCATTTTGAGCATACCGTGTATATTGACAAAAACGGTGCTAAAATAATAACTAATTATGAAGAAGAATAAAGATTTTTTTTCTACCCAGGGTGAGGTAATTGAATGAATAAATAAAAAAAAATTTCGGGTTAAATGTGACAATGGTAAAATAATTGATGCCGATGTTCCTGCTCGTTTTCGTACTAAGGAAGGGCGAAGAAGAGCCATGATTGTGGTCGGAGACAGAGTGGTAGTGGAAATAATGTTAGGAGACTTAGGAAAGGGACAGATTGTTTCCTTGGTTGAAGAAAGTGTTTAAAATAAATTAATATTATGAAAGTTCGTAGTTCAATTAAAATAATGTGCGAAGGGCGAGGAGGTTGCCAAGTAATCATAAGAAAGGGATGCCGCTATATATATTGCCAAAAGAATCGCAAACATAATCAAAGGCAAGGTTAGGAAGTAAAACAGTAAAATATAATATATGAATAAAAAAAGATTAACTAAAACTATTACATTTTTAATCATTGGAGCAGTGAGTTTTGTTCCCTTAATTTTTTGACACGATATTGTAGTTTCTTTTATGGATGAAAAGAGTAATTTAAAAACTTTAAATTTAATTCACAAAATCGGAAAAGCATTTTTTATAATTCTTGGTATTATTTTTCTCATAGTAGGCATTTATAATCTTATCATGATGTTTGCCGAAGAGGATGAATCAGAGAGAGAGAGAGAGAGAGAGAGAGCAAAGCATAATTAAAAGATTAATCTATGGTTCGTATTGGCAATAAAGAGGTACCTGAAAATAAAAACATTCGGGTGGCTTTAAGTTATATTTATGGATTGGGGAAAAGTTTTGGTCCAGTTTCCCCCTCCCGGCAAATTCTAGAAGAGTTAAATATTAATCCTTTTGTTAAGGTTCGTGATTTATCTGCTGAACAAATTAACCTGATTAGTCAACGGGTAAAAAAAGTTCCCACGGAGGGGGAATTAAAAGAAAAAGTCCAAAAAAATATTAGTGCTCAAATTCGCCTTGGCACTTATCAGGGTTTAAGGCGTTCCCGTAAACCCAATCCTTTACCAATTCACGGGCAGCGGACCCGGCATAATGCCCGCACCGCCAAAGGTCATAAACGAATAACCGTTGCTAACAAGAAAAAGGCTCCTACTCCAAAATAATCTCAGGCAGG